CCCAGAGATCACTGCTGAAGGTAGTTCTGGGAACGTGGCTGTCAGCAGAGCTGGCAGCCAATACAAGATCCCCCACCTCTTTATTTTCCCCAGGCTTTTGCTCATCAGAGTCATGGGTGCTGCATAACAAGATCAGCTGCAACCCAGTGCTTCCCTCTTCTGTAGGCTTAACTCGATATGTTTTAAGATTGCCAGTCTCAAGGCAGCACCCCCAGAGCAAACCTCGCAGTGGCTTCTAACTGCCATTCACAGTGAGCCGATGGGCTGAGAAGGAAGCGGGGAGGAATAGGTGCCAGTCTCAGCTGCGTCTTTCACCCCTCATCCTGGTCTGTGCCAGTATGGCTCTCGGTACAAAGGATAAACTTCCTTGCCGAACTGCAAAATACATGTGCATAAATTATGGCTGTCAGGAGGCACTCCCAGATGGCAGGATCCACTCTGCCTCTTACCCCAGTGCCAGAACTAGTGATCATGCAGCCATTTAAAACCAGCTCTACAAAAAAAATATTTGCCTTCATGATCGATGACACTTGTGGAAGGGAGGGGCAGCAAGGTGTGCCCAAGGATGGCGAGGAGGGGAGGCAGCGATCCTCAGGTAGATCAACTTTAGCTGACAGTAAACTCATAGCCTTATTGTATCATAAGCCATCATACTGTTTAAAATAAACCTTGCAAATATCTTTGAAAACCCAGCCTGACTTAACTAGTGTCTCATAAGGACACTTCATGCTAAGACATCTTCATTGCCTAGTTTATAAACATTTCAAAATAACATCTGAGGTTAATTACACTTATGACTCCGTCAGCAAGAGCCACGTGACCTTTCTTGTACTGAGTAAATCACTGTATATTTATTTCACTCTTACTGCCGTGGCCCAGGATTTCAATACCTGCACAGGTTCTGGCCTGCATTTCAGCTGCATTGCTGAAGCACCATGGTGGAAGAGATTATTTTACGGCCCTGGGAGTTGATTCACAGCTGAGCCACATTACTTAGGCTTTGTGCCACAGGGAGAAACGTTGCCATCTGTATGGAAGCCTGGGATATGATGTCAGAGATGGGCTGTGATAAGAAGGAATCAGGTGTTGAGAGAAACTATGTGGGCTTTGCTAGTATAACTGCTCGTAGTTCAGAGCCTATTAAAGCTTTCCTAAGCCAGCTCTAGCAGTGGCACATCAAGGAGAGACATTCAATCACTGGAGGATGTGCTGTGCAGAGCGGTTGCCTTAAAGACAGACACAGACCCTCATAACTGTGTAGTGATTATTGTTCAGCAGCAGCAGTGCCCACTGTCCATTCTCCGGACAGTGCCTATGAAGGCATTATTTCTGCACCAAAGGGCAGGAAGAACAGAGAAGGGGACAAAATTTATGCAGGTGGGGGCACAAAAGCAGCCTGTGAGCTTGATTGACTGCAAAGAGTGGAGCCAAAGTGAGAATCTGGGAGGGTGCCAAGGGCAACTCATAGGGCAGAGTGAAGTAAGTGTTTGGAAGAGGTGAGGGGAAGCTGAAGCACAGCCTAAGAGCAGTGGGGACCGGGGGGCGGGGGGAGAATCCAGAGAAAAGTGACACAACCCTATCCACAGATAAGAAAAAATGATGTGAGACTTACCTTTCTTGTTCTGTCAGCATCCGGTTGCCTGGACCTCCAGTATAAAGCATTTGAATTTTCCCTGTCATAACTTGTTTTTACAGCCAGATTTCCTAGCTGCAGGGTGGCAGAGGGAAGAATTTACAAGTAGATTCAAAGCGACTCCTGGAAGAAAGGCATGCTCTGCTTTTTATGCATGACAAACTAGATTTAGCTACCTTAATAGGTGATACTGATTTAATAGTGATTACTCCTCTGTGGTTATTTGAGCTTTTAAAAAGTATTTTCAGATGCCCATAAGGTTGTTAGGGCCTAACTATATTGTGCATGGTCTTTAGGAACTCACCTGGTTAATGTGGTACTGAACCTGGTAAGCAGTGTTTGACTAAAGCATGCCGAAAACCGAGCTGCATCAGAAGAAAATCGGGGTGTAGACTAGGCCTTATACCTTCCTGGTTTTAGACAATGTAATGCAATCAGAACAAAAGCCAAGTGTTTAGGAGCTTAGCTGGATGTTATTCTCTCTGATGAAACATTCTTACCAAGTGTTAATTGCTGTTAGCAGGGAGTGATGTTATCCCTATAGGAAGCTCATCTCTGGGAGCTTTGGAGGGAAAGGAGGTGTAGAAATCAAAAAATGAACACACGAGATGTAAAATCTCGGAGGTGTTGAAAACCACTGAAGGGAAAACTGTTGCCAAGCACAATACCTGGATAAGGGGGCAGGGAGCAGGGAGTGGTTTCCAAAGCCTCTGGAGAGTTTTCAAGCCTAAGACTCTGAGCACAGAGTTAGTTTAAAAGGCAATTTTGAAATTTGTATCTTGCCTTTGAATTTCTCTTGAATATGTCTTGTGGTCAACTCGTGTGTGGCTTGAGCTGGACCAGAGCAAAACAAGGACTAGTGAAGCAGCTTAGAAAGTCCTAGGTTTTGAGGAAAACACACATGTTATCTTTGTTGAGAAAAAGACCCCTGTGCAGAGCTAACTATCTACATTTATGTGTATTTCCCACTGCCCCAGAGACCCCATTATGCAACAGGTCATTACTGTTTGTTTGAAGTCTTATATTTTAAGAATCCAAATCCATTTATACAAAGCTTTGTAAAACCCAGGATTTATCTGTGTAAAGAAGTTCAGTAACAGATGCACATGGCCAGAGCTGCTGGCACAGAGCATAGTCCTCCTCAAAGCTAGGTCATCTGCAGTCTCTGACAGCTTGGGTGGCAAAGTAACACTGGCTTCTGTTTTTCTTTACTCCCAGTGTCTGTTGGCAGAAGCAGTCAGTCCTGGACACTGCGCAGCATCTCCTTTATCCCCAAAATGAGAAACAGGCAAGTAGAACAGTTTATGGTACAGATATGTGTCCTTTGTGCCCCTGTGATGAATGAAACTTGCCAAATTGTTTGAATTTTAGTAGAAAATTTCAATTTGTATGAGACAGAGGTGGTGCCTCATGACAGCCCCAAGCCTTGGCTTACATTGAGAGCCCAGCACATGGTGGAAGGTGGGACCAAAACCCTGTCAAACTGCCTTCCGCATTACACCAGTGGCACTACTTTGAATCAAAATATTTTGAGACTTTGATACAGGTTCAACATTTTCTGTAGATGTCAGTTACTTTTTATGAAGAATCAACACTTAGTAAGATATCTGTGATACTTGTCAAAAATAAGTGACAGGAAATGTTCATTCAGCCCGACTGCCAAGCTGGCACATGTCCTATGTTCGGAAAGTTATGTTTCAGAAGCCCAAGTCCAAATGGAAGACGAGAAATTAAGCCATTAGCCATTCCTGGGATGGGCTAGCTGAATATTTTCTCAGTAGCTCATCGCAAGAAAGGAAACACTAAGCTCCAGGTTTTTAAAGACATGTGGGCACCTAATGGGAATAAACTGCACAAACACCTCTAAAACTCGGGCTGTTATCATCAAAATTTAGTACAAAACAAACAAGATGTTTGGATACAGGAGGCAGTGCCTGAAGAGTTAGAACTACGAGGTGTAAAAGAATTGGGGAGAATGAGAAACAGTAGCAAGTGAACAAGCCTTTCCTGTGGATCCCTTTTGCTTCCCAAGAAACCCCAGCAGGACAGTGAGATGTGTTTTTAACCTCATATAACATATCAGAGCTGCTGCCTTCAGTACCAGTGCTCTAAGGATTGATCCTTAAAAGACACAGAGCCCTCTTGGAAGTCTGTGTTCCTGCTTTTAACACAGGCAAAACTACCCCAAACTTCCCAAAAGTCATACAGCTGCTGTTTTCAGCAGCTTTCCCTAAGGCACAGTAAAATTCTCCCTGGGTGTAGCTGGGATTGTACGCGCTGCAGTGCTTGGGAAGGTCTGCCTGCACAGCTCTGCGATAGCTGCAAGGCTGTCATAGCACAGCGCTTACTGCTGCCAGGGTGCCAGGCTGTTGCCAAGTAATGTGACAGGGCAGCAAGTCCAGGCTGTCTTCTGATTTGCTTTGAAAAGGACATTACATATCTCCGGCTGACATAAAATCCTTTCTGCTTCACGACTATGGGGAATCGGCTTATCAAAGAGGCTTATAGTACTTTCTGTGATAGGTAAGAGAAAAAGCAAATATGTTCAGCCCTTTTTCCCTGCTTCTGGCAGCATGGGCCACTGAATCAAATCCCTCTGGCGCTGGTGGGAGCAGGGGCTACTCACAGCAGTTCAGAGTTTGGGCCACAGGTCTAGTCCTGGGACAGTGGTGGGTGCAGCGCTTCTCATTGTGGGTTACAAGAAGCACAACAGCAAGTAATCTTTATTTTCAAATGGGCCTTTTGCTCCAAAGTTCAGAGTAGGTTCAGAAATCAGAGAGCAAGATCTGAGGAGCAAGCTCACCGGGGAAAGACTGTACCCTCAAAGGATGTCCCTAGGAACGATGTTTGATCCTCTGATCTTTTGCTAATGAGTTTATGAAATGTCAGCCAGGCTTTCCAGGTCAAAGCTAATGAGCAACAACATGATATCAGGCAAAGTTCAGGAGGGTTAAATGAACATGGATTTCAAATCCTCATGCTCTGCTCAGAGCTGCAGCGTTTACTGGTGGAGTTGAGCCATGGAAGTGAAAAGGAATTTCATACTTGCTCCCTGTGTGATTTGGGACTAGGCAATAGGATGAGAAATCAGCTTTCCAAACGTGGACTATTTCAGTTCTGACATCTCTGTCTGGGCTAGTTGTCTTGCCTCCTGCAGTCACTGAGAGAAGCAAGCATATTTATAGCACTTTTCACCTGCCCTATTTGAAACATCTGCCTTAGGAGCAGACGAATTCATGCTTTGGAAGTTCCTTATTCTCAGGCAGTGACCCTGCAGATGCCTGCTCCCCGTGCAGGCTTCTCTTGGGCACACGCGGAGCAGCTCACATCTGGAAGTGATAGAGCCACATTTTGTTGGTGCCACCGCTAAGGGGCTGTTGAACTTCCAGAGGGCCTCTGTGAGGTGGTCCCAGATGTCCCTGCACCTGGTCCATACCCAGGCCGGAACCTCCCCAGCGATAAGAGAGCTGTCAGGGAGTGCTGCGCTCAGCCTCACGACCGGGATGTCCTGTGGCTGAACGGTTTCTCCTCGCATGCAGCTCTGCACCGTGGCTGGGGTGGGCGTCCCA